GGTACTGATGACTTCAGTGACTTGCAATTAAAAGCCACTTATTTAAAAAGCATCTTCCATGCCGAATTGTTGGTAGTTTATGTCAATGCTTGATCTGAAGTCAGCAGCTGACGAAATATGAGGTTCACAGCCTGTCCACCACCCTAATAACTATCAAAGCCTTTCGATGGTACTCAGACCGTTCTCGCCTGCTCAGCACGGCCGCAGGCTCGGAGGCGTTCTGTCACACACTGTAGATCACCAGTCGCATGCACTCACCAAGACCAGCTTCATTGTGCGATGTTCCGTGCCCCACTGCCGCGCGGCCGGCGCCGCAGTGCCTTTATACCGTTCGCCAACACTGGTCCACATGCGACAAAAATCGCCAACAGACGCCTGCTGGCCACCTCCTTAAACGGAGCTCAGCGCCGACCGGCCTTCCAGACGGCGGAAACTAATAGGTGGACAATTATATGCGGTAGGTGCATCGTCGCACAGCAAGGCGCTCATTAGGCTCATCGGTGCGCCAAGGTGCGGGTGAAAAACCGCATATTTGATCCAAGATTCGAGCAATTTTCCATGAAAATCTGCATTCGGAGCATCTGCAAGACATGCATCACTTTTTATCGTGAAAAGTAAATTGTGTCAATTAGGAACGCAACTGCTACCAATGTACCACAAATTTCCACCCACGGTACGTACGAGTATATGGTCAGAAATTATAGATCTATCGGAGGATGAGATGTTGCTACTGAAGGCATGTTCCCTTGCCAGATGAAATGTCCCCCTAACCGGTGCAGGGCAGTGCAGCCAGTGCACGCCCCTAACCCTCTAACTTTACCTAACCTAAAATCTAATCTAACCGGTGCCTCTACTTGAGCATGTGATGACTATCGGAGGCTGAGACATCCCCATCAAAGGTTACGAACTTACGAGGTGTGCCTTCTGGGGGTTACAATGCCACTGTTGGAGGGTGTGATGCCCCTATCAGCATCACATCCTATCAGCATCACATCCTCCGTCACATCACACCACATCACATCACATCACATCACATCACATCTGTGATGACCCAATCAGCATCACATCCTCCGGCAAGATTGCATCTCCTCCTATCGGAAGATGTGATGCGACAGGCCGCCGGACTCCGGAGAATGTGATTCCCCTTATATCGAAGGGTAAGCTGTGATATCGCTTTAGGGAATACGATGTATGTTAGTAAAATACAGCTCGTAGATTGTGTGCGATTTGTTTGCCTAAGCTCAAAAGTTAAATTAGCGCATACAATTCGACTCGGCTGGTCAAAAAAGGCACATTTTGACACCATTTTGAGACTTAGCCTGACCTTATGCAAGGTAACGATTGTCAAACGTTTTTTTTCTCACAGTTAATTCACGAAAAGGTGGACGGTCGCAACGACACTTTCAGTGACCTCGAGTTGATCAAGTATACATCTTGCCTGAATTTCATTGCCTTAACCCTCGCCGGACCTATTGGTTTTCTACATACGCGCCGGCCGAGGGGGGGGGGGGGGCGTGTACGAACCCCTCGCCGTTTCGATCCTGGTGTAGCTAGCGTGTCACTGAAAAAACGAGCGTGTGCGCCCTTACGAGACGCAGAGATTAATGTCCGATTTTAAGGTCCTAGGTCAACCGGTGACCTCTGAGGTCAGGTCAAGTGCCCCAGGGTACGATTCCGTTTTTTTTGTGAATAACTTCGCAAAAAACTAATAATATACTTTTTGTTTGGATGAGGTCAGCTTAGGTTGCTGACCTCGGGTCACGGTCAGGTAAGCGCCACAGGTCACGAAATTGGTCGAAGGAGGTCATGTTGCGCATTATTTGATTCGGCAGGTCTTTCTGAGTCCACTGGTGGCTTTCCCGACTCGCTAGCTCAAGTTGATCGGGAGTTATTCACGAAAAACTAATATGAACCTAATGACGTCATAAATGACGTCACGCAAGGTCAACATTGCAAAAGTGAGGCATTGAACCTTGCAAGGAGTGTACGAAATCACGATTCTGTGTGCTTGAGATAGTTGGAGATCGTTCCCGGCGCCAGAATAGCAGTTTTAATTTTTCTTCATTGACTTATAATGGTAAGGTCACGAAAATGACCTGACCTAATTTGACCTTAAGGAAAAATCCGGAATATACAAGTTTTGAGACTCTGAATGGATACTAGGTCCTGCAAGTTTCATTGTCCTGTGAAAGATCCTCTGGCATTGAGGGCGCTGCGAAGTTGCGACATCTGAAGGCCGTGCAGAGGTTCACTTAGTATAATGTCATAGGTCAGTGACCTGACCTACCCGAAAATGCGGTTGGTGTCAGAAGATGAGGCTTGAATCAGAGGTCGGGTATGACAAGTTTCAGCTCACTAGCGCCAGCGTGTTTGGAGCTATCGTGAAAACCCCTATGGGGGGGGGGGGTCTTGGCTATGAGTCTTGTGAGCTTTTGACACCTTGATTTCGGTATGTTTTTGCTAGTCTTACCTTCCACCTATCACGGAACATGTTATTCGACGATGTGCAGATGTCAGGGTCAGGGTCAAGGTCAGCCTAGGTCATCTAAAAACATTGCATTTTAGGCTTGCCGAATTTACTTTTCGTGAAGTTTTTTGACTGCATTTTTGGTAAAAGCTTCTCAGATCATGATCTCATGCAATAGGGACACACCAACTAATCGGTGCACACATCAGTATACACACAGACACACACAGACATACAAACACATATCATTGACCTTGACCTAGCTTGACCTGAAATGACCACAGCCAGTAAAAACCTAGTCGGATAGTGTGACAAAGAGCTGATCTAGCTGGCTTGACACCACAAACGGCAGCGCCTTCGGTATATGATGGGTGCCGCACGTGATATTCCAACGGTGGCCCCAAACAGGAACATTTTTAGTTTGACCTGACCTGGAACGTCAATGGTTGACCTAATGAGGTAAAAGTGGGTACCATTGTATTCGTCACTTCCCAACGAATCTGTTGATCTTTGCCGCAAAGCTCTAGCTCCAGCAGGAACGAAATGGCGCAAGGGGGGTGGCACCCCCCACCATGTGCGTTCTAGGATGGGAAAATGGCATGTGCGGGCGGGGTTAAATGCATGAGCTTAAACAATATTCTTTGAATCAAATCTTTAAACAAAAATAGTGATATATTCGAAAACAAAGCCCGAACAATTTAAATTCTCACTCTTGAAAATATATCAGGTCAGATGATCATTAGCTTCTTTTCGTCACGGGCAACACCCTATTTTTTTTGCGCAAATCTTCTACCCCAATGAAGCCGAACAGCTGGGACGTTAGACGCTGTAAAAAGGCCAATACGGGCGAGGATTAGCCTCCATTTTGTGAAAGCCATTAGCAACAAGACTGCTTAACCTTAGGTTAACTGGTACTTACCCCAGTTTAAGTTCTCAGGTCAACCGGTGACCTCTGTGGTCAGGTCATGTGCCCAAAAATGGAGGTTTGCTTTTTGGTGAATAACTTTCCAAAATGATTGCAATTTGCAAAGTCACGATATTGACACCATCATATTTATCATGTTCATGCGCGTCCACTGATATGCTTTTCGTTTGGGTAAACTCAACTAAAAATGTTGACATCAGGTCAAGGGCAGGTCAAAACCATTTACTCAGGGTCACGAAACAGGTCATATAAGATTATGCTGCATATCAATATATTTGGCAGGTCTTTCTTTCAAAGTCCATTGGTGACCTTCCCGACTCGCTAGTCCAAGTTGGTTGGGAGGTATTGTCGAAAAGTGCGATGATCTTAGTGACGTTATAGGTATGAGGTCAAGTCTTGTCAGCAATGCAAAAGTCAGGCGTCAGATCTTACATGGGCCCAATCTTATAAGATGTTGTACTATTCTATTTACGGCATTTGGTAACATTCACAGTGATACCAGTGCTGACAAAGGTTTATCTGAGTCAACGAAATGATTCTTTAGACCGTCAAATTACGCTGGACTGAAACCATTTGAGCAACCATTTGAACATTTACGAAGTAGTTTTGGTGCCTTCGTAACATGCTACGAAGCAGTCAGAGACGGATGACACGTATTACGAATACCCGTCACAACCCCTACCGGTTGACCTGACCTGACCTGACACGACCTGGTCTAAATGCTTAAAGACATCATCTCTGATCAAAACTAACACGATATTCGTGATCAGCACCCCGGAAGACCACATAGCAGCTACGCTTTACGACTTTCTAACAGGTCCCGATTTTCCCGGTTTTCGGGTCATTGACCTGACCTGGAACGTCAACCGATGACCTAGGACCTTAAAGTTGGGTATCATCGGCTTTCTCTCGTGACGGGCAACACGCTCGTTTTTTCCGCGAAGCTCTAGCTCGATCAGGGGCCAAACGCAAGGGGGGTCGTACCAACCCCCCCCCCCCCCTCCTTGTGCCGTCGAAGGACTCAAAATGGCCTGTGCCGGCGAGGGTTAATATTTTTTGCGAGTATCTCACAGAAGTCAATTTCGCTGACCCCAAGTTTTTTTTTACAACGGAGCTCTGGTCAATTTTGGCAGAGTATTTTAATGCCACTTACACATTAGACAGACAAAGAGATATTTTCACTTTCTATGAAGGAGTAGTGGACATAATGTAATCAATGCTACGTACGCATGGGATAAAGAAAATACATAAAGTTTTTTTAAACCTTTTCATCTCGCTAAACGAACTATTTGCTATACGCTGGTCAATGCTCATACAGATAGCTGAGCTATGAAAACTTAACATTGAAAATGTATGAATCTGAAAGGGCTTCAAGGAATTGCAAATAGCCCTTTGCAAAAGGAGGAACTCATCATGTTCTGAGGAAAAGAATGTGCTAGGTTTGCGGACTGGTGCCATTCATTGCTTCCTACTAGTAGGTCGACTTGTCACGTCCATTTACGGATGGGAGGAAGAGACGGAGGTAAATGTAGCACGCGCACGCACCCACGCTGCTATAAATGTGACAGCCGCGACCCCAGCTGGCAGTAGTGCACAGAACGCCACAAC